AAGAATCAACTTGTAAGGTCAAGAATTTTCGTCTCTCTTTTTCATCTTCTCATTTTCTTCATACCTTCATCATGATCATAAATATACTTATTTCACTTTCCATTAGTCAGATTAATTGTCAGAAACCAATGTCCACCCAATGGTCAGTAAGTTTCCTGGTCAAATAGCTTGGATAAAATGAAATTATACAACTACAAGTCTATTCTGATTTCATGTACCATGAATTTAACTTTGACGAGTTAATAAATTGTGGTACATTCATCAAGCTCTGATTGGTAATTTTAATCTTCATCATTTCTCTCCAAGGAATCATAATCATAAGCATGATAAAATTTCAAGGATTCATTATGAATGAAGAAATAGGAAAAACAGTTACTCTGAACAGATAAAAGTTCATCATGAACCCAGAATGCAGACAAAAAAAGGTTAAAATTGCAATTGAAAATGTAATTGATTATCTCTAATCAACTGAAAGATACAAGAAAACAAAAGGCAAATGCTTATCAATATGCAAATACAATAATCAAATGTTATCAGTTTCAATTATCAGTCTTTTTTTATATTCACTGGTAAACAAAAATAAAACTCTTGACATTATCTTGATTAGATAATCAAAGGTTCAGGGTGAGATAATTAATTAAAAAGTGATGCTGATGATCAGATGGGTGTGTGATTAGCTGATGATGGAAATGAAATGATGGAGAAAAGGACTTTCCTTCCTGATAAACATTTCTACTACATCCATGATAATGATAATCTTATTCATTTGATAATGATGATAATTGTTACCAAGTCCATCAAATGTTGTTTAATTGTTGGTGTAAATCTAGAAGTTAATTTACATTCACTGGTGATTATTATTAATCACTATTATTTGCTTCATGGATCAGAAAACTTTTTTTTCCCGCTCAACTTTGACTGTCTACTTTTGTTGGCTGTTAATTTTAACAGATTTTAACTTAATTATCAATTAACATCACTTCATTAACCATCAACTGGAAGAGATAAACCCGTTAATTAGGTTTGATGGTGTTAATGATTAACTCGCAGTAATTAACATAAAACAATTGAAATGAATAATCAAATGAGCCAAATTGATAAACTTCTATGATATTGATTGACCAATGGGTCAATCTAATCTCGTCTTAACCTTGAAGGTCATCAGCTGATTAGTTTGGTGTAATTTATTTCCACAACTTTTCATGAGTATTCAGTTGGAACTTTTCTTCAAATGAAAATTTTGATTCTGTGAAAATCTCAAAGGATATTTTTTTTCTCTTCAGTTTCTTTTGTATCCCTCAAATCAAAACGAGAAAACTCTGAAAGTTCAGAGTAAATATTAGTAGATTTATATACAGATAGATATGCAGGGAGAGATCAGAGATGAAATTTTCCTTTCCATCTGAATAATTGAATCTTCTTTGCTTTCTTCTTCCTGAGAGCTGATTGAATTGATTTGGCTAATGTAAAGATGATAATTTGTTGATACATGTCATATCCACTATCTTTTAATTTGGATTGTGTGAGTGTCCATCCATAAGTGACCAATCGTGAAGGAAGTTCTTGTAATACTATTTGCAAGAAGAAGAGAAACTTTCATGATGATTGGGAGGAATTCACAATCTATCCTGATATATGTATGAAAGAAAAAAAAACGAATAATTTTTTTTCTTCGTATTTTCACCTTTTTCTTTGGATCACTTTTTTTCGACTACTCATTTATTATGATGGACACTGAATGGTCAATACAAAACATGAATTTATTTTTTTCTCGACTTATTTCAATTTACTCAGACGGAAAAGTTTCCATGATATTTCATGGAAACTTTCACATTCAACTATTTCAATATTCTCTCTATATATTTTGTAGAAAGTTAGAGAACAGGGAGAAACCGAGAAGATGTTGTGTGTAGGAGGAAATTTCAACCCTGTTTCTCTCTTGGAATTATTGATAAATCTTGATTTCTAAAAGAACAGGCAAAAAATCGAGATTATCATACGAAGTTATCATGATGTTTATTAAAATTCTTAGTAAAATAATCAAAGAGAAAAAGAAATAAAGTAACTTTTCCTTTAAATCGCATCGAATATGAAACTTTCGAGAAATAATGATATCAATGAGAAGGAAGTAAATTGTTGCTTCGAAAAATTATTTCAATGTAATAGAAAATAATATCATTTAGTATTATATTTTTATGCAGAAGAAGAAAAAAAAGATTCGCAAGGAAGAAAAAGTCAACTGAATATATTTCTCTTCTCTATTCCATAATAATAATTCAATGTTTACTCATCTTCTACTTTCTCCTGAAACCTTCATACTAGCACATCCAAAGTTCATTTTCTTTGTCATCCACATGTTCAGCATTCGGGTTAGATATCAACTCTTTCTCCCTGTTACTGGCAATATCCACATGAGAATTGAAACCAATCAATTGGTTAAACTGTTGTTTGATTAAAGATTATTATTAGTATTAGTTTCATGAAGAAAAACTGGAAAAAAGGAGAAGACGAGAAGACGAGAAACAGGATAAAAATGAGTCTCGAATTGAACTTGAATCGTATGTGTGATTTTTATATCAAACTGAAAAGTATGAAAAAAGAAGAGGAAAAACTCAATCAACTTTCAATAGCAAAAGAAATTGAAATAAGAAAATTTAACTCAGGTTCATTCATATAAAATATACATCGAAATATCATAATTATCAAGAAAATTTATAATAAATACTTACGGAAACAAATGTTTACAATAAAAAGATAGTCGATTTCTGATCTAAATGTAGGTCAATCTGGAAGCGTAACTTTTGACTTTAATAAATATCTTGATGTTTGATTTTCTATTGAAAGCTTCAACCATGAGAATTTCAATTTGTAATTAGTTTTTAGTATTAATAATATTTAGTTAGTGCCAACATTTTGCGAAAGACTCTCTTCAGTTTCATGTCCAATTTTGACTTTATTTCTGTTGGACAGGTCATACTGGTCAGTTTAAGCATTAGTGATTGCAAGTTTGAGGACATTTAGAGTTTACATGATAAATGGTAAAATTATTATTATTTATGTGAATGGTCAGTGATAAGTAAATTGAATTGCTTGGTTTTTTTATCTTCGAGGCTAAGGATTGACCAGTTCATTTATATTTATGTGCAAATAAATTGAATTAGCCCATCATTTAGGTCAATTTTCATTGGAAACCACGATTTTCAGATCTTTTTTCCGGAAGTAAGACAGAAACAAGACCAAAAATTTTTCATGGTCACTTGTAATGATTCAAATGTTTCACCATAATGCTGAGATATTTATGGATTCATCTGAACTTTTGAGAGTTATCATTCATTTTCTGGTCTTTTATGTTTTGCTGCGTTTCTTTGTATGAGATTTGGTTCATGATACTCTAAAGTTCAGTATCATGAAACCAGAATACGCAAGTGAATGGGGGGAAAAGTTAAACAATTGAAAGAAAATTTGATTAATGGATTTTGAAACAATTATCTGGTGAATTTGTTATAAATAAAATAACCATTAATCATGAATTAACTTTCCATTCATTTTGAGCTTCTAATTACATTATTATCAACCATTAAACTGCTTTTTTCTATTCACATTTCAAATCTTTTTTGAATCACTACGATTATCATCATGACCATAATGATGATGATGGTAATCGTAAATGCTGATTCAGTGAAGCTCAGCCGAAGTAAAAAAAATGAGAACAATTCAATAAATATCACTTATTGACCACAAGAGATTCTATTGACTATTAATACTGGACAGTCATGGTGTTTATATCTACAATAATCAAGAAATAAAAGTGGTGATGGAAAAAGTTTTAGGTTAAAGTTCTGGTGATGGTGGACAGAAACTGAATAAGGTGGACAATCAAAAGAGAACATGAAAAATCTGATTCAAATCATTGGAAAGATCATGAGGTGATGGAGTAACATGAATCATTTTCTGTCACCATTGTTAGAACATGATGACACCTTTTATCGTACATCAACCACATGATAGAAAAAGAGGAAAAAAATTCATGAGGAAATTTTTCTCTCTTTTGTTCATTTACCATGTTACTCTTTTAACGATTCAGAATTTTTCATTCTCATTATTATCTCTTTTCGATTGTGATGATTTTAGCTGGTTTTCGGGTTTTTCTTCCTTTTTTCATTGTTTTTTTTGTTCTACTCTCAACTTCCTCTTTCTTCCTGTCAAACAACACTTACTGACCACATCCTTATGAATACTCACTGACCATCAACCCGAATAAAAGTAGTTGGTATGATGATGGTGATAAACTTTGACTTAATGTATTTACTGAAAAAAATACTACATTTCATCTTGATGACACCAATTCCTATGAGAAAAGTTAAATTGAAAGTCAATATCTTTTATCATCAATCAACATTCATCTTATCATCTTATCCATTCCCCACTAGGATACTTTATTCATATCTTGACCATTCTTGTCTACAAACGATAATAAATATTAATAATATAAAAACTGAATGAAAATCATGATGTTTGAGTAAATAAAATGAACCGTTTGCCTCCTACTCATAATTAATTGTAATCACTCATTATAAGTGAGTCTCGATTTGAATTGTTATCAACATTCAACTTGGAAACTTTCATGTAAAGTTCAAGTTTCTCACTCTTTTTCTTTTCATTTAGTCAGAACTTTTTTTCCACTTCCCAATTCTAATCCCAAATTTACGTCCCATGAGAGATTGAGTAGAATAAAATGAGATTTCATGATGATTATCGGAATGTAAAGGCTTGATTTTCGATTCAAGAACCAATCTGACAGATTGAATTTCCCTTTGATATTTGAAACACAGAAAGTAGAGATAAAAATATTACTAAATTATTACAGTTCCATTTGTTTCAAGAAAATATCATGAATATTAATTCATAATAACGATTGAAATTCATTGAATGAGATGCAACGAATTCAGTTCTAGAAATAAACTAAATAATAAATTTTTCTTTACTCAATCATTACACAGATTCAGGTGATCATATTGCTGATGAACTTATTTTCATACTAATTGGTTTCTTATCGATATTTGGATTAATCGGATTAGCCATCTACTTGTGTAGGATAACTTTAAGATCAAAAAGGCGACATAAATCAATCGTTCCAAGTGCTAATCAAGCTGCTCCAAAGGCGAGGTAGGTTAACCTAATCTATTAACGATAATAATCAACTAACGATAAATAATAATTACCCGATGAAAAAAAGAATCATAATGAGAATATAATCATGATATTCTGATATCAATATCGTTGGTTAAACTGAGAATATAAGAAGAGGGAAAAAGAGAAATCAATTTCCTCTTCTTCGATTGTTATTAGATGAATATAACAATTCTGATGATGATATTATATAAAGAAGAAGGTTAATCAAGCACGATGATGGTAACGATAATATCTTCCTCTCTCTCAATCCACCCCTACTTTCAGGAATCTTGATCCTTATTGTTTCAATTATGATCTAATATTTATCTTATTCTCAATGTTATCATTTCTCTTTTTCCCCTCTACTCCATCTTCATCATAAAGTCCAAGCCTGAGCTTGAAATCGCACAAGATCAGCCCAAAACCATCAAAGATAAAAACTCCTGATGTAATACCTTTGAGAATCAATGATTCAGGTAATTATCATTTAGAATTAATATTTTTTGCTCTGTGTATGCTTCATGATAGCTGAACAATTTCAAGGAAAGAAAAAATTTTTCTTCTCTTGCTTCATCTATTTTTCTTCTTCTTGATGAACTCATAAAGTTGATGATGATAATAATACATACGAAACAATGAATTTGTAATCAGAATCATTGGGAATAAGCATCATGAAAGATGAAGAAAAAAGTTCAGAACTTTTTTTTCTTTCCTTTTTCCTTTTCCTTATAATCATGAAGGTTGATTTTTTTCGCCTCTGTTTCTATTCTGGTGTGTATATACTACATTCAGTGGATATACTTTGAATTGAATTACTTGAGAGAGCAAAAGAAAAGAGAAAATCTCTAACCATGAATCCAGGCATCATGATGATCCTTTGAAATGAATGTGAACTTATCATGATGACCTTTCCTCAAGGTTTTCATTGGATTGTTGTTGAAAAACAAATTGTAAATTCATTCACATTCAACATCTAATTCAATTGTCTCTTCCTCTCTCAACATGAACATTTTCACCATGATAATCATGGGTGAAGTACAATCAGAATAGCAGTAAAAAAAAGTTCCAGGTTCTCAAATTAAATAGCAAGAAAAAAAGACAGATAAAAAAATCCATCTATTTAAACAATGATTCTGAACAGATTCTCAGGTTCATGGTTATCACCATGATAACAGCAGATATTATATGGAACCATATCCTAGGAGTTTATATTGTTTTTATTATCATTTGGAGAAAATGTTTAATGATTGATGTTTATTTCCGGTTCCGAGAATCGAATGATACTTTACCATAGTTCAATGGAGATCCATTGGAAATCATTGAGACAGAATTTTCTTTAGAATCCAGAACCAAAATGATGAGTTAAATATTCCCTGCCAATAATAACATGATAAAAGACGCTGAAGATAAGATCAAATAATCAACCATGAAAGAGGCAAAAATAGTAACGGAAATGAAAACAGTTTCCAGAATTAATCTAAGAACTTCCGAACAGAAATTGCAAAGTTAACCCTTTTTATCAAATTTAAACAACCAAAAAGTCATAATAGTTTAAATTGTCACAGTTAATAGCTGGTAATTTGGCTCTTTCAATTAACTTTCACTCAAACTGATCATGAGCTTTCAATCAGTCTAATCAAGACGATAATCGTTATGGAAAAAATTTCCGAAAATCGGAAATGAAACATTCAAACAATTAACTCATGAATTCATTGATTAAGGAAAGACAATTAGGTGGAATCACATTATCGTTAATAGTTGATCAACTTGTGATCAATCAATTCCAACTCTGTGTCTGAATACTCATCGAAACTCTCGAAGTCATCAACAATTCTGAAATTTTGATAAACGATTATCTATATTTCTTTTAACTTAATTTGATCTGATCAATTGTTACGATTTTCGAGATTATAACTTGCTAATTGATTGTATTGACTCATAAAAATTAAGCGAATGGTTTAGAATCAATTGGATCAGTTTATCATTAGTTATCTGTTCGAAGATCGTTGAATTTGGTGATATTACCTTTATTGTCCTTCGTTAGGAACCATTAAAGTTTCTTCAAACTGATCAACTTTTATTTTTGATTGAAAAGTTTTTCTTTTTATTTTTACCAAAAAGCGCGAAAAAAGTGACGATCAATCAAATGAGCTACAATTTAAATTGAAAATAAATGATTACTACCAGAAAAAGAAAATTAATTTTAATTTTTGGTCTCTTATATAATTTTCTTATTGTATATTACATGTGATTAACTGATTCGTTACCAAATAGTTAATGAGGTAATTACTTACGATGAAAAATGGAGCAAAGAGGAAATGATTCTGGATAAAAATGAAACAATTCTGGCAACAACACAATTAGATAATTACAATCAACTCTATCCTGATTACTCTGCTTCCAATAATTACAATTATCAACATAATCATAATAATAATAACATTCATGTTCAACTAATAACAACAACCACAGGCTCGTCTTACCTTGATAATCAACCCATAGATCATCATGTAAGTTGATTAAGTTGATTGTTTTATCCAATTTAAACATACTGGGTGACCAATAATATGTTGTTTTTTTGAGTATGGCGTTTAAATCTAAATACTAACTTACAGTAACTTTTTTTTCTGCTTATTTTTACAGTAATTAGTTGAAGTTTTTTTATATATAAAATTTTCGAAAATTGGACATTCTATCGAAAAGTTACAGAGGGTTTCATAAAATAACAAAAAGTGGGATTAGATGATTACTATTTAGTATATAATCTATTTCAGGGTGTCATAATATGCTAAATAGAAGTATCTATCGTTATTGATCTCAATTTTTTACTTAAAGTTCCGAGAAAATGAGTTATCAGCTAATTAAGTGCTCAATTTGGGTAAATTTCAGGTTTTTTTTTACGATTTTAACTATCAAATATTATTCACTGGCCACCTTTGGAGCCTTGAGGCACTCACCCTGTAGATTGAAAATCATTTTGAAAGGATGGATATTTAACTTGCAAGTCTAGTGCTTAATTCTTTACTAAAATTATTAAGTTTGAATCAAAGATAAAGAAGTTACAGGGTATTTAAAAAAAACAAGGTATTATTGGTCACGCAGTAAAATTAACTGATATGTTGATTAATCAATTTCCACATATACAAGATGAAAACAGAAACAAAAAAATTAACAAAACTTTTCTTTCTCCACTCAATTCAATTGGATTCACTTTCATGGTGGTTATCATGAAATTGGATGAATAAAAAACATCATGTCCACTCACTGACCATTGATTGATGATGTACCAACAACGGTCATCATTTAAAAGGATAAAATGGTCAATAAATCTGATGATTGCCTTAATGATAGTCAATTTATTCCAGTTCTCATTCAATTTCAAGACCATCAGCATATAATGAAGGTAAATTGTATTGATTATAATCATTATCGACTAACAATCAGTATAAATATAAATTGTTTTAAGATAATAAAAAAAAATTCGCGTACGAAAAGTTGGATGGACATATAAGCCTAGAGAACTCATAGTTGATTATTAATTGTCACAATTTGTAATTGGTTAGTTATTGTATTAGATAATCACTAATCTGGGATAAAATATTATCTCCAGAAAAAAAGGGAAAGACTAATAATAATCACGGGTAATTAATCCACATGAAATACACTAGGGAACAGATCAAATTACTCTTTGATTAATTGGAAAGTTAATCCATCAGAGTTTTTATCCTCTTTCCATCCAACATCAAAATCCCACTTCAACTCCCACTTTCAATCTCATCAATAGTGAAATAAAAAGTAACCTTAATGATAACGATTAACTAACAATGAATTAAATCCACTGTTTAGATAGAGAATCAAAAACAATCTAATCGTTAATTACTCTTGATTGTTTTTGCTACATCACTGTTAACATGTTTCCTCAATCAATTATAACGGTCAACTTATATAACCGAATAAACAATTAAAGGAAACAATTTAATTTCTAGTGAGAATCGAGCAACAACTTTAAACACTAATTCTAATTCTAATTGTTTCAAAGTTTTCAACTTGTCATTAGAATGATAGAAACTAAAAAAAACAACAAGTTCTTTTCTTTTTCTTAAAAGACAATTAGATATTCAATTGTCAGTGTTAATCTAATTATCTGAACATACGATAAAAACTATTAGTCTAATCAATAAAATCTCCGGGTGGATTATTTTGTTTCTATCAACCATTTATCTGGAATATATTTCATCGTAAGCGATGATAACAGTTCCATCCTCATCTTCCTTCACAATCCGAAGAGACATTGACATTATTCATTGACATTTCTCCTTCTTGTCCATCCTAGTTGTCCAGTTCGGTCGAAAATTTGTCTTGGAATAATTTTTTCCAATTCCATTCAAACATTAATGTAAAAATTAATCTCTCTTTCTTTTGCAAATCTATTATTTAATCCACCAGAATCAATCGAATCCAATAGCTCTAATAGATCCTCGTTTACCAATGACGATTGGTAATGGCTTGAGTGGTGGTGGTGGTGAAATTCAACCCTTTTCAATGTCAACTCCAGTTTAACATTGATATTGACGTTGAAAAGTGGTAAAAACAATTAACAGGCAACAACATTTATCCATTATCATTAACAGCATCAAGATTATGATTATAAACATAATTAGCATTTAAGTGCCTCAGTTGAAATCGTAACCATGATGAAAATATATATACATCAAACAAGCCTCATAATCATCAGATTCTTGCCATATATTAACATCAAAATCATCTTTAAACATTTTCCTCATCCATTTCCTTCATTACCATCAACATCAATATCCAATAATCAAATTGCTGAGATGAAGGGAAAAAATCTGAAAGCAAAAAAAAAATCAACAAGAAAATGAATCAATTAAATTGTTGTGTGTACATGTTTATATCATATTCTGTTAAATATACAACTAATTGTAAATTTTTGCTTTAACTTTTCTAAAATTATATTTGTTAATAAAGAGAGACACAATTGTTATATTTACCTTTAATATTTAACTGTTCTCACGATTGATTACTTACAATAAATACGAACAATCAAATCAGTCGAAATTGTGAATTGAATTACATTTGGGTTGGTGGTTTATCGTTTAGTGTTTACCTCGATTGATGGTAAAAGTGTTTACCACAATTAAAAAATTTCTCATCATAATTAATCGATTTACATTAGGAAATTATACTGGGAATAGTTAGAAAGAGATCATGTCAAAGGTTAATCGTAATCAAAGCCATTGGTTGATTAGACATTTGGGACTATTTAATAATAACAATCATTTAAGAAACTATCTAATGGTTAACAAATGTATACAAGAGGAAATTAAAGTAGAGAGAAAAGAGAGAGAGAGAGATTTGAATTACGATTAGTTTTAATTACTAATCATTATCATTATCATTTGGTGACTACTTTTAATTTAGGTAAATCCTCCTTTCTAATCAATGGATCAAATGGTTTCCAGATCACTCGTCCTCGGGATAATAAATAGTCATTATTAAGCTTGGAGATGTGGAGAGTCTGAATGAGAAAAAAAGTATCGTAATAGTTAATTGGTGAGAAACAATAAAATTAGAATTACAATCAAAGTTGATTATATTTTTGTGATTACATTAAATGGTGATAAATTTTCATTAGGAAACGTTGATTACCTGAACGCGAACATAAGAAACCATCATTTCCAAGATTACAGGATCAACATCGGAAAAGGTGAAAAAGTGTCTCCATAGAGCTGCAGCTAAAACTTTATCATCGGATAATAGACCCTAGAGAAATAGAGTAAATAAGAAACAATTAATTTAAGAGAGTGTTAATGTGGGTGTAGAAAAGGAATAATAATCAAATTAACATTGATTCTTATAATAATTATATTCACCTCATCCAAGCCTAATAGTGATGCAATAAATGTCGCATAAAGCGTATTTAGAACTTCATTTTGAGTTTTGACATCAAATCTCTAGATTTAGGCGAGAAATAAAGTAAATTAGTGATGGAGAGTAAGTAAAAATGGTAGATTGGATTTCCATTCCATTGGAATAATTTGATAAGTAGAATCAAATTAGAGAGAGAGAGAGAGACAAGAAAATCAACAAACCCCAAGTCTTTTCATCCTCTCATGAGCATCTTCCCATAGTCTTGCCACGAACTCTCGAGCAATGTATTTACCATCGGAACCAGCGGCGTTACATTTGACCATAATCATCCTAATAATGGAAAAGTGTAAAATAATAATTCAATTAAAATGATGAAATGGTTGATATTCAATCGTTGTTAAGAGTAACAATTGATTTATGTGGTGGGTTGAAATGTCAAAATTGGCTGTTTACCAAACATGAAGTTGAGTGACGAGAAACCAAGAAAAATATGTATCAGGTAATTGACAGTCTGTTATGATTAATTAATATTAAGATTAGGATTAGGATTATGAATTGAATCAAATTATATTTTTGATTGTAACATAGGTGACCAATACTCACGATTCATGAAATTTACAATTGGTAAATCATCAGTGACAGATAAGTATAAATATACTGAAGAATCTTTCATTGTCTATTCCAAGTTAAATTAAAAAGAAATCGATTAATTAATTGTGAACGATAAAACAATGAGACTTAAAATTATCAAATTAAAATCTAATTAATACTTACCGGTCGAGCGTATCGATAGAGGCCAAATTTCTCCTTAAATCTGTCTAAGGCTGACCATCTAGTCACTGGTTGGGTAAACAATTTATCATATTCAGACTGAAAAATAAGCCAAAGGAAAAAAACAACAATTAAATTGATTGAAATAATTAAATTACCAAAACAGAAAAAAATTTACTCACTTGGACAATTGGAGTAACATGAAAACCTCTGGTTACTATTTTCTTTACAACTAGATTACAATTCAAACGTAAACTAAACATTTCAGACCAAATAAATTAACCAACCAGTTGATAGAAAGAAAGTTAATTATGAAATAACTCAACTCATTTCGCCGATACAATTAAAAGAAACAATTAGTAAACAAACAAAATGATGATCCGGTTGAAGGTGAAAATCAGATGAATGAAATATAAACAAATCCATGCGTCTTTGAGTCTGCGCATGCGCATTGTGATTCTTGTTCAAATTCAATTTGGATTCCAAATCAAATTGAATCTTTTTTAATCCTTTTGATTACAATTAAGTTTTAATTAAATTGCTGTCATATTTAATCATCTTGGTCTAATGATCCAGTTAAGATAAATTACCGAGTTATTCACACCTTTGAGCTGTATTTCTTTTGTCTCTTGCTTACTAACCATAAGTTTAAGTTTTGTTTTTGTTTACATTTGAATTTTTGGTAAACAAACAAAAAATTTTCTAATTTTTGTTTTTCTTCCTGATTAATTTAATTGTGATCATTATTGGCCACTTTTGGTCACTATTTTAGGTAAGTAAAAGCTATGATAATCTAATTTAGTTCAATTAGATCATCATGTAATGTTCAATTAGCTTGTAATCAAATGAGTCAAGTTAACTTTTTATTTTCTTTATTTTCAATATTTTCTTCATCGACATATAGAATCAAAAAAGGGACAATCAACTGTGATTATCGTTTTAATTGTTATCAATGGTTCGTGTTAAGAAGAGATATGTCCTACTAGAATGTGTTCTAGATGATAATGGACGATATTCATCTGAAGGATTACCATTCGGTGAGGGTGATGTTGTGGTTGCTCTTCGTGAGGCCGTTAAAATGATTCATGGTGATTACGGCCTTGGGTCGGTAATTGGTTCATTGTTTTGTAAACGATTGTCCAAGAAAACTCGAATTTGCCTTTTCTCATGTCGATTTGGTCCACATTACATGTTAACAACTTCCATTCCTTTTGTAAAAAAGATTAAGGAAACTCCTTGTAGTTTAAGACAATTAACTATTTCGGGAACCATTAAGGGAGCCTGCGAATTCTTGAAAAAATTTTATGAACGACAAGTTGAAGATTATGAAAATGAATTGAAAAAATTTGAAAATACTAAATTCAGATTACAGAAACTTGAATAAATTCATTTATATTAACATTTACACAACAAATTGTATTCATTTGATAACCGATAAACACAATTATCAAAATGATTTGAGTTGATACAATTCTCAAAGATAGTCAATTGAATTTCTGTGAACACAATCAACAAATATTGTGAAGATTATTCAAAACAATCAATTTCACTTTGAATACAAAAATTAGATGATTGAGTAAGTCCGATGTTCCGGAACCAAGAAATTGTTTGATTTAACAAAACTTATTGTTGAGTTTGTGATTTTTTGAATCCTTTTTTCTGTGACAATTTAATATTTTTCTTAATTTTCTCTATATCCAAACTTGATTTTGATTCATTCTTCTTGGGATTTTGTTCAACCTTTCGTTTGGTATCATCTTCGGCTGGAGGAATAAACGCTTGGTACCGTTTCTCTTGTCGGGCAACTCGAGCCTCTTCCTGTTTGGCCATTTTTTCCTTCCTTTGGATCTTATATTTATGATCATCTCGCATGAAATATTCACCGGAAGCCAATTGTTGATCAATCTTCGATTCAAGTTGTGCAGGTGGGAATGGAGTATATTCCTTCTTGGTTCGAACTTTAAGTGGTTTTTTACGTTTAGATAAATTCTTTGACTTGAATTTAGGTAGAAAACGTTCCCAATTTTCATTCTTTAACTTTGGATCTTTACATAATTCCCTTTTAATCATTAGAGCTTTAATATTGTAAACAGGATGTATGTTGTTCATACAATCAACTACAATTCGACGAACATGTTGTAACCCTTTATATGGTCCAATTGCTGAGACTGTATTTCCTTGAACGAGAACATAACAATCTGTCAGCAATTCAATTGCTTTCAAGGTTGATCCTGAGGGTCCAACTAAACGTTGTCGACGTTTAACAAATCTATCACGTTTACGAACCATTCTTCCAATTTTAATTATATCACAGGCTAAATTGTCTTGTAAAACTTTGGTCGCCTGTTCAAAGGGAACCCCACGAGCAATTAGCTTAACCATATCACGAGCTTTCATTATAATATAAGGATCCCAGGTTTTCTTGGTTGTGTGAACACTTAAACTACCCTCCATTAGATCAAGTTCCGCTTTAATTTCATACTCTTCCAGTGTTTTAACAATCAAATCAAAACATTCTTTGATATAATTTTCACGATATTTTGGAAATAATGTGGCAAAACTTGATTCACTGACGATAAAATGTGGAAGCTCATCTTTCTTCAATGGAGGTATTTCAATTGACCAAGGATCTAAATCAAGAAAATACAAAGAAAAAAAAACAATTAAAACCAAAGAAAATCAAAAGAGTCACAAACCAAAAAATCCAATACATATGAATACAAACAAGAGAAAAACATGGATCCAAAAAAGAAATCAAGATACCAAATAGAATCGTTTTTCTAATTACAGGTTAAACTTACCATCAACAATTTGATCATCATCCATATTGAAAGTAGAATAATTTAAAATGAACGCAAAAATTAGATCGAAATCAATTAAATCTAAATAATTGAATAGTAAACAAGAAGAAGAAGCATTTGTTTTGATGGGAAAAAGAATCCAAATAAAACACATGGTATGTTTTCTGCGCATGCGCATAGCGAATGGCACAATTTGATGAGCGAGATTCAATTTTCATCTCAACATCAATTCTTCAAACTCTGAAGCTGAGAATCATTTTTTACTCTTGTGAGTTAATTCAACTCTAAAACCATCATCATCATTATCTTGGCGATTAATATTCACTAATCAATATTAATTGATCCAGTATCTTTGTATATTCTTAATTGTTTAATTGTTATCATGGTTAAATCATTTTCCCTGTTTCCTGAATATCCTCATCCGATTGTTTCTCCAACCAACCAGCTTAATGTAAACCAGAATAATGGTAATAAGATTGATAAAAATGGTTCCGTTTGTGTCGTTTATCCAATTCAGGGGAATAAATAATTCACCAATTGTACCTTGTTTATCCAGTAAACCTTAGTTCCCACTCGTTATTAAACCAAAATTAATTCTTAATAATTAACTAACCACCACTAGTAATCACTCGACCTTACTCATTACCTCAAACGCCATTGACTTTGTTTTCTCTTCCATTTTTTGTTCTATTCTCTTTTCTCAACATATTCTATTCTCTTCTATTGTTTTTTTTCGCTCCTTTTCTTCCTCCATTTGTATTTCTCACCTCTTCCTTTTCTCTTTTTTTCTCCTCTCGCTCTCTCCATCTCCCTTTCTCATGTATCTTTTTTTCTCTCCCGCAACAAATTGATCAATCAACAAGTTAATTCTCCACAGTTCCATTTCTATGTCTTGTCAACAATCAACTTCCATTGTGTTGTATCTATTGTTTTCTAATTTGTGTCCATCTTATTTTACCAGGAACAAGAAGGTAATCAAGAAGACGACGACAATAATCATCTTGTTTTCCGGTTATTTTATTCTTTAATTTGGTTGATCGTTTTTTTCTCCTACTTTTTACTGATTTAATTGTTTACCGTCTCGAAAGCATCTCTCCGTTTTCCTTTATCTAATCATCATCTTCATTATGGTTTACCTGGATTATTTGTTGATTCAATAGTTGGAATTTGTTTTTTTTTCTTCTGTTGTTCAATCAAACCAACAATCTATCTGACTGAGTCTATTCTTTGCCGATTTCGAATAGAAATTCTAAACAAAATTAGACTGTACCTGTTTCTATTTGTTAACTTATTTTCGGACAATGTACAAACCAGCTATCATTGGATTAATTGGATTACTTTTAATTGGACTTGGAATAGCGGCTTTACTTTTCGTCCCAGAATTTGTTCAGAAAAATATTCAAAAGGTAAGTTAATTATCAATGAATTTACCTTGATGATTCTTAGATGAACACAATCATCATCACAATTACCCCAACAATCATTTTGTTTTCACAACCATCACAATGGATCAGGTAGCTTTTAAAAGTTTTACCTTGATTCTATTTCGCAACAACAATAATAACATGATAATAACGCTATCAACATGGAGTCACAAACAATTAGATTCACCAGGTTAGAAAAATTTAACCGTTGAAAAGGAAATTGATTGTTCAATGAAGAAGAAGAGTGAAAGATAAATGCTGGAAATTTTTAATAGAAAAACGAAACTGTTATTCAAGAGAAATCACCTGAATTCATACCTTCCTTTTTTCATCATTTTCTTCACCAAACCATGATGATTACCTATTTCAGGGTAAAATTTTATCCAATTTCTTTTCTTTTCGTAATGATTTCACTTGATTCATCTTCAATTTTCCTCTCTAATTACACACATGAAATCGTTCAAATCTTCTGATTGATCAGCTACTATTTCCAACGATCAAATCTTAATCCATCAAAAATTTTCCCAAATTTAAAACACAAAACTAATAAAATTGAAACAATAAGACGATCAAATTTAATTGTCGTTCTTGTTTCTTTATTATTATCATTATTTGTATTTACCCTTAATCATTTACAATCGTTTTCTCAATCTAGTCTACCTAATCATCTAATATTTCAACTAATTTCATGTTACGATTTTTAATCATCTTAATGTCAAATTGTTGTTGTTTTTTTCTCCATCAAAACAACAACAATTGAATTTAATAATATATCAGCACGTTATGTTTATTGGTATAAGAAATGAATGAGATTTACTAATATCAGGAGTGGACGCGTTGACCTGATTCAGGTCGCTTAATTTCAGTTTCCGGACGAAGTGAATTCATGATAAACAGGTATTCGAATCTCTCTCTCTCACTCTCTTTCCTTTCATCTTCTCACTTTCAACTGTCAAGGTTCCTTTTAAATCTCCAACCCCCACTACCTTTAAAAAGAGGGTCACTTTTAATGATCTCACTCTCCTGATGATCGAAAGTCTTTTAATCTGTTATTGTTTATCATGAGAATAAGTCTTGAATATCATTATCGAATCTACTTGAACGTTCATCAGCTGATCTTTAATTGACTATTAAATGAATTTTTTCTCAATCAAATCTCTTTAATTTAGAGAGTTTTTTGCTTGGTCAAGTTGATCATTTTTTCCATCTTCATTTGATTGACATTTCATCAAGTTCATTCATGAAATATAAACTCTTGAATATCCTGAAAAGGATTAACACCCACATAATTCAATCATAATCTCCTTTCACATAAAACTTAAAATCTTCCATTAATCATCTCATCTAATCTTCAATTTTAAAAGTTACATTTCTCTCTCTCTCTCTCACTCTATTTCTCTACCTGTTAACAACTTTAATGAGCAATTCATGGTGATTATCATGATGATGATGAGTGAAAAACTTTTTGTCACTTTGAAATGAAAATTTTTCAATCAGATAACTGTGAATATCTTACTATCACCATGACCTCTTGATTGTCATTATCATGGTCTAGTCAAGGAACCGTAACCAGCAATCAACTGATTATAATCAATAAAAAATTGATGATTAACATAAGAGGGCTTGATGATCAATTTCAAAGTTAATCATGGAAAATCAATAAACCGTGAAACTATTGGAAATGTTAATTTACTTAAAGTATCATTTTTTTTAATTTGATTAAAAGTTTCAATCAAAACAATTAACCAGATGATTACCTTTTTCATGATGAACACGGAAGTATTTGTTTATATCGTTGACGAAATCTGGTTACCCTCATCATGCGATCTCATGATTTCTAGGCCCACTTCCGTATCCGAAACTTTTCTCATTAATTTGATTATAATTCAATTTCCATATTCATTAGTAGCTGTTAACTCACACTGAATTTTGATCATTGAAGATTTCGGTATAATTTTACCAACAATTAACCTGATTAACCTTTAATATCTGAGTTGATTCAGTTAATTTAAAGTTAGTAAATTGTTGAAGTTGTTGCAAATCTAAATATTCAAAATAATTCAATTCAATTTATTTAATTGCTATTGATATAATTGAATTTCAATTACTTGATTAACTTTTTTTTGAACATTTTCCCATCAAATTGTTGTTTGAATCGTATATTTATTTACAATTAAATTCTTGTGACGATTTTGCATAATTACAGTTATCATTTAAATGATTTTCTCGTTAATCTCAATGTCATTTTATTATTATTTAAGTTTTGATTGTTACAATTTAAATCATTTCCTCGGAAAATAAATTATAACTTTTACTTAGTCAATAACAATAACAGTATTTGTTGAATATCATCCCGTTAACAATTAGTGAGTAAATTAATCAATGGAAATGATTTTCCCGCTCAGTAAATACTCACAAACTGTTGATTGTTACCAGTTTTTGTACTTTAACTGATTAACTGGTTTAATTTAATTTAATTTGTCTAATTGTAAACACCAATTGTTGTCGATCACTAAATATACTCGGATATCCTTTCCTTTGAAAGAAAAACTTTTTTTTTGATTTGTTTTCTGAGTATTATCACCCCACTGCCCTGATCGCTTGGATAACTCACAAGAACCCGTTGGATTAGCACCATGTGAACCGGTTGAGTTGAACCGATGGGAAACCCGATTAAATTACTGCATCAACCTGAACAATAGGATAATCAACCTTGGATTAAGATTCAAATAATATACATGAGTGAAGGCCACAAGTCACATTTGAAAGTAACTTTTTTTTATACCCGAAGTCGCTTAAAAAATGCTTAAAGTATCTTGGACTCGTTGAGTGCGTACTTTAACACATGAGCAGCCGATGTTACGAGTAATTTAAATTGGGGAAAAAAGTTGCAAGTTGCAAATTGTTTAACTTTAATGTTAATCAACTCACCAACTTAGTGATTATAATAATTGGCTCATGAATCTCCACTCGGTGGGATTACTGATGCTATTGTGCTCGTTGAGACGAGATTCCCGTTGATTATTGTATTTAAATCGTTAACTTTAAATTGACGCACGGGAAATAGTCCATACAAAATGATGGACAACACGCAAATTAATATTAATATTTACCTGTTGCTATTTATCACCAGGTAGAATCATTCAATTTGAAAGTATATCAAACTTTTCTGTTTATATTTTTAACTTTGGTCAATCAAATGACCTTAATTTTATTGAACTTTTCAGTTTCATATTCAAAATTAAAGGTAAACTAATTTACCTTTTGCATGATTATTTCACCATTTGGTTATGTGAGACCACATAGATTAAAAGTTAATTGTAATTAACCAACTTTGATTGGTAATTTTATTGATTTCTTATCGATTTTATTTTGAAGGATTAACTTCATTACTGACCAACAAAAGTTACTATTGACCTTATCATGTCAACGATTTGACCTCCTCACACCCTGATTTTGACCTCACATCCTTGACCGTTGAGGTTGTGTTTTTATTTAATAGTTTTAGACATACAGTTGATTAACTTTAATTGTTATTTATTATCAACAAATTACTGTTAAATTGTATTGTAAACCTTGATGATGATATTACAATAGCTAATTATTGATTCATTGGTAATGATTAACTGTTAATCTATTGTTTTCACAATTAAAACCATTGATTAAACATTCAACGATTGGTTTTAATTGTTACCTTGATTTCTTGATTGTTGGTTAACTAACAGACACCTTGTAATCATTGTTTCTTGATTGTCATCATTATCTTTATTACAGTGAACTTTAATTTTCCATGTTGATAACAATTAATCTATCAGCTGATCATTTGTACTAACAATTAACTGACATGTACCTCTAATTGTTGACTCTTAATTCAAGGTTTCTAATTATTAATTATTTCTATTGACTAACAATTTAATTTCATCTTTCTTTTTTTATGTCAAGTCTATTTTTAGTGTTTAATTGTGATTAAATTGTAATGCTTTACTTATCGGCTATTTGATTGTAATCTTTGGTCAGTGATTGATTTTATTTGATTACTCAATTTGATTAACCTTAAAAAAGCAATTTAATTGTTGTAGTTTATGGTTTCAAATGTAAATATTAATACAAAACGTCACATGTATTATTATTAGTCTTACAATCAATTGATTGTTCAATTGTTGAAATTGATTGTTATTATTATTATCACTCTATTGACCTAACTACTGAGTTTTAAGGACAATGTCAAGTAAATTAAAGTTAATAGTGATTTAGATAATAATACAATATCTTAATTGCGAACAGGTTTTCAGGCTTAATCATCTTCATTTGATTGTTAACAATCAAGAAGAAAAAGTGTGAAAAGAAAAAGTTATTGGTGTAATTAATTGTCAATTGTTCATCTTAATCACAATCAATTGTGATAAAAATAATCAATGATAAAAATCTGATTGTTTAATTAATCCTTGGATTGGGAAAATTAGTAACACCAGAAAGTGTTGTTACAATCAAATTGATTTACTTTCCAATAACAACAATTAACTTTCAGTAAATTGTCTCATCAAGTGATTAATGAAACAATCAATTTATTAATAATTATATTGATGATTGACTTGAAAACAAGACAAATTGTTTCTCATTTGTAAAAGTAATTAAACTAATTTTTGTTTTTCTATTTTTTTTATTAATCCAGAAACTAATTCTGATTGAAGGATCAACGGCTTACAAACTTTGGCAAAAAGTACCGTTACCAATATACAATAAGTTTTACTTTTTCAATGTGACCAATTCTCAGGCCATTGAACGGGAAGGTGCGAAACCGATTCTCAAACAGATTGGACCATTTACCTATCGGGTTTCGATTGGAAAATTTGCCATAAGAAACAATGGAAACGGAACTTTATCTTATCGTGAAAGGAAAAGTTGGCATTTTGAACGGTCACTTTCAATTGCCGACGAGAATCAGCCGATAACAACATTGAACACACCATTGGCGTTAACTTTAACTCTTATTCAAGGTGCAAGTCCAACTGTTCGAGTACTGGTCACCCTGGCATTAGATGCGGTTACCGAAGGATTTTTCATCAAACGAACTGTGAAACAATTGTTATTTGAAGGTTATCCCGATCTTCTAACGACCTTTGGTCCTGTTCTCAATCCCGGTATTCCATCTAACAATGGTCGATTTGGTTACATGTTCCCGAAAAATAATACGGACGATGGTCAATATACAATTTTCTCGGGAGTTGATTCGATTAACTTGCTCAATGTTATTGATAAATATAATGGAAAGGAAAAATTGTCTTATTGGTCAACGGAAGAATGTAATTCATTGAATGGATCGACAAATGGTCAAATGGGACCTCCATTGATTCACAATGGTGGACTTTCAAGTCAACAGAAACAATATCATGCATATTCAACTCATGGTTACGACAGTCAACAAGTTAATCAATATGAAGAAGATGCTGATCATTTTGGTTTAGGTGAACAGCCTCCATTTATTAAGATTTTTACCTCAGAGATTTGCCGATTATTGCATCTAAGATACAATTCAACTCATCAACCCTATCCCGATCTCTCTGTCCACCGATACACATTTGATGAGACCAATTTTGCCTCCGCAGCCGATTACCCGCCCAATGAATGTTACATTAGTAAACTTCCCGCTCCAGCTCCTTCTTTACTTTATTCACTCTCTCGTAATCCACCGTCATCATCATTGTCTTCATCTCTTTCCTCCTTAACACAACCCTCACCTCTGTCATCGTCATCATCATCTTCATCCACACCACCACCATCCGGAGGACCTGTAGCAGGAGGAGGATTAACATCAATTTTTCGTCCTCGACGTGAACCCTTTGCCTCCGGAGTTTTTGATCTTTCAGCCTGTAAATTTGGTGCACCCTTTTTAATATCACAACCTCACTTTCTCAATAGTCATCCTGTTTATCGTAATTCAGTTGTCGGCCTTTCGCCCAATGAAAGTCGCCATTCTTTCTGGATGGACATTGAACCATTAACTGGATCAACCGTCAACATGGCTGCTCGATTTCAACTAAATGTCGCCATAAATAAAGCTCCAGGTCTTTTCCGTTATCGTAATATACCTGAGATTGTTTTCCCAATATTTTGGCAAGAATATCATTTTGAATTCACCAGAGATTTGGCTCAACAACTAATTGATTTACGAGCTATGCCTTACCTTATATCATCGATATCATTTTACACCTTCCTTTCGATAGGAATTGTACTGGTCCTAATCTCCATTTTAGTTTATGTGATTCCATTTCTCAAGATTCATAATCTTGAAATCCACAGTAAACATATCCAAGGAAATTTAAATACACTCACCAAATCTTCAAGAGAGGTGATTAAGGTTCAATTAAATTGACTACAGAAATGTGAATGAAGATCAAATTCTATCAATTAGAGTAACTGCTTCCTTGATAGTCGTAAATCTCAACACATCAACAAATTAGATTTTCCCTTGAAAATCAAGATCACACTGAAAATGTTCCAGTTTCAAAATGATTTAATTTGATTTCTATTCCGATTCTCTGTTGTTGTTGTTATTGTTGTTATTGTTATTCTTTGATTAATTTGACAATTTTTTTCATGGTTCTTTTTATTTCATGACCATTGGACTGAAATTGCTCATGGATATAATGAAATCTTGACCAATGGATACCAAAATGGATTCTACAGGATGACCGAGAGATATTAAGCCGGAAGACATCATCTAATTCATCTGGTGATGGATCGGATAACCAAGAAAACATATCATCATGAAAAAATTGACAAGTTCTCAATGAAATCATGAGAATCTGAATTATCTGTGATATTGAATCAAAAATTCAAACAAGAAATTTATCTGAGATTAATTTTCCACAACATGTTGTAAAAGTTATTTATATATTAACAATTTACTAATTAATAGCAATTAATTATCTTAAACTTATATATATATAAATAATTCTGGTAATTTACACAAAATTTAATCAAATTTAATTTGATCTCATTTCGATTAACAATCAAATGTACAAAAAGTTCATTTTATTTGAAATTTTACCAACAAAAAGTATTGATTGCTAACGATTATCAGAATTAATTGATTGTTCAGTTTAATGATTGTTTTTTTTACATCAATTGAATTGAAGTTTTTACTTTGAACAAATAAAACAAAAAGTTCAAAGTGATTTTGTATAAATAAAACGATAATCAAGTGATCTGAACAATAAGAACCAGAACTTTTACAACATTTAGAATTGAAAAAACATTCGAACATTTTAAAATCTAATTAAAATAAAAAGGTTCTAATTGAACTCGATAGTTTGTTAATTGACTTTAATTCAATTCTTCCTGAACAATCAAATCAAAAAGCGTCTTTTGTTTGATTTGGTTCATTAATTGCAAAGTATAAACTGCGAATCGTAAATCTAAGCACAAGAGTCACTTCTTAATGCGATTAATGATAAATAGCCTCTGGGCATTGTTGATCTACCTCAAGATTGTCCATCAATGTGGTTCCAAACTATTCTAATCTTTTAATATCTAAAAAGATTAAAAATCTTTAATCCAAAATTTCCGGTGGAAAAATTGACCACAAATATCAACTAATTAGTTGATTGGTTACAATTTAAATTGTATCTCTCAACAGTCGAAGGTAAAACTGATTTAGAACATTTTTCTGTTCGATTATCTCGATATTCACCTAATATTCCCGTTCAATTTTCAACTCGAAACTAAAAATAGAGAGAAAAAAAAGTTTGTAATTGTAACTTAATCATAATCCGATCACAATAAGGAAACAAAATCAATCTATTAATAACGTGAACAATTTACTAAATATCACCAACAGTTAGACGCTCAGACAAACTTAATCATTTAATCACCACCAACTTGAGAATCAACAATCAACCAACAATCAAAGATCAATCAACAGAAAAAAAAAACTTTTCCTTTCAAATTTGATTGTAACAGTTAAGTAAATATTGCACAAAAGTTGAGCTATAAATACAATCACTTGATTAACATTTAATTGTAACTTCTTGTAGCTCGTTTTCAATCAATGGATACATGTTTTCACACGCGTTAACTATTGATTAATCAAACGCTTCAATGAATTGTTAAAGACGATCAACTAATTATCCTGAACAACAAGAATCAAAAAATTTACGAGTCTCAACACAAACACAATTGTAAAAAAAAAGCTAATCAACAAACATCATCACCATAAAGACAATTAATTATTACAATAACCGTACGGATAATGTTAATCAATGACATCAAACCCTCAACAATTAGTTTAACATTGAGTTTAAATGTAATTAAAACAAGTCAATACCGTTAATCATGTTTAGTTTTACCTTTTACAACAATCAATATGTTGGTGATGATAATGGTGGAAACAAATTGTTACTAATAATTAACAATCTCTCACTATTAATGATAATGGTTCGCAGTGAACCCTAACTGTTTAACGATAACCGTAACAATCAGTGAGAATCAAACGAGAAAATTAAGATTAGCACCCGAAAGATTGTCTAACTCCTTCTTTATCATCCTTATCTTCATAATAATCATCATCATCTTTCATTATTTATCTTTTTTTTTCACCAAAAAGTTTATCAAAGTTTTCAATCAAAGGCCTTTCTTTTAATCCATATTGTCAACAATCAGTAAAATCTTTGATCAATTGTGCCCATTGAGGTCAAAAGTTTATACACAATTTAATTAGTTGATTAGTTAATTGTTCTCGTTTTGATGATGTTATCAATGGAATCAATTATTGAGGCTTATACCTGGAATATTGATCCAGTTACCAAATATTTCTCATTTTATCAAGGATTTCCCGTTTTCTCAGTATTAATTGTAATCAGTTCCCTAATTGCGACTAAATTGTTACTTCCACTTTGGATGTCAACCCAATCAACATCCTACGATACTCGACCTGGAATGTTCATGATAAACGGGATCGATTTCGGGATATCTGTTTGTGGTTCCTTGTTGATCTATTTCTCATCACCGACTCCAGCGGTGGGTTTTAACTGTGTCCCACTTTCAGCGACTGATTTCCGTCACATTGCCTATCGATATGCAGGCATTGCCTACTTTTTTGTCCTTCTAACTGGCCTGGGTCGACCCATGCTTCGGGTCCTTCGCCATCAGTCCAAAGGTGTTAACGCTTTAACCGTTCAGTCCATTTTTTTACCCTTCTACATTTACTATATCCTCTTCTGGGAATGTACCGAGGCCGCTCTTTTCTTACCCTTTGTTGAAACCGCTGTCGGCTCACTGAGAGCGGGATATTTCATCCTAACCATTTCAACCGATAATAACCCGACAAAATATTCCAACTTCCGTCGAATTGTTGTCACCGCTCAAATCTTCAAGGGTTTCGCCCTAATCGCTCATGTGACCGCTCTCTTTTTCCACCCTACCTGTTCAAACTACCATGGTATCAAGACACTTGAAACAATCTATGGATTAGGTCACATCTATTATGGATTAGCTAATCTAAGAAATCAGGTTAATCCAGTAGAAAGTAAAAAAGTTTTGTAATCAAAGAAAAAAAAGTTAATTGTTATCGTTTCATTTTCTGTAATAAAAGTTTCATTTTGTTTTGTATCAAATTAAACTAATCAAAATACGAAAATTAATTCTGTCAATTCATGATTCCAATTGGAAAAATAATCAACTAATCATAAAACAATTAACTTGAGACAAAATTGATTTGCTATTATATATTTTTATTGTTTTGATTCAATTGTTTTTCTTTAAAGTTTCTGTAAAAGTCAAAAATTTTTAGGTTTTGTGGGGTGGGGATAATTAATGGACAAATAATGTAACATATTTTGTTTTTGTTGATGATGATTAGAGAGGAAAAGGAAATAGGGTAAATTAATTTATGTATATAACCAAAATTTGACAAAAAAATAGGTGAGAGTTTGTGTGTGGATGAATATGGTAAAAACATCGAAATGATTAGAATGTGAATAAATTAGAAGAGAGAGAGAGAGAGAAAGAGAGAAAGAGAAGAGAGAAGAAAAAAAAATTATAATGAGATGATGAGGATGGAGAAAATGATGCGTCAATTTTGCTTGGAAGGGAGAGAGAGAGAGAGAGAGAGAAACTGATGAGAAAGAGAGTGAGTTGTGTGAGTGAGAATGCGAATCAGTATTGGGATGATAGAAAGGGAGTGTTGGATGAAAACAAGAATACATTAGTTAGATTACAACTATTATTTAACACTTTTGTCTTTTTGACTTGATTGCACTTTTCCTCTTCGCAAGAGGAGGAGAGGGAGGAATCAAATAGACGCTTGACCGCTCGATGATTGGCCAGGAAAGATTCTGAGAGTGGTAGAGATCCAGTTGTATTGCAGTCAACAGGTGAGACGGCGGGTGTTGATGAGCGCGGATTAGAGGAATGTAAATTTGTTGCTGAGCTTAAATCACCATTAAAGGCATTTGAAAGGCGTTCGGAGGCGGGTGAAAGTGCACTAACGGTTGATTCATCTATTGATGAACTGTTTGATGATGATGTTGATGATGATGATGAAAGTGGTGAACCAAAAATATCGACAATACGCTGTGAGGCTGATGTTGAGCTTGATGAATTTAGAGTTGTATCAGGATCCATCAGCATCATTGGTGAGGCCATAAAAGTATGAGCATAACGATGATGATCAGAATTATCACAAGCTTCAATTTCTATTCTTTCGCATTCATCTTCCTCATCATCTTCTGGAATGTAGAACATAACAGGAGTTTGATCTTGGCAATTACCTTGATAATCTTCCTCTTCATCTTCTTCGCCCCCTTGATATTGCTCTTCGTCATCATAATCCTCCTCCTCTTCTTCTTCTTCTTCTTCTTCTTCATCCTCTTCTTCATCTGCATCTTCCTCTTCTGATTCTTCTTCTTCCTCATCGTCTTCACATACTTTGGTTCTTTCGATTTCTATCTCTTCATCCGAATCCATTTCTACAGTTCTTGCTTCGTCCTCGGTTTCTTCAATTTCTTCATTTTCACCTCCATCCGATATCGATTGAGTATCTTCGTCATCTACTATACGATCATTTGTTATTTCTTCTTCTTCGTCATCCTCTTCATCACTGATTTCATCTTCTTCCTCCTCTTCCTCTTCTTCTTCTTCTTCTTCTTCTTCTTCTTCATCCTCTTCATCTGCATCTTCCTCTTCTGATTCTTCTTCTTCCTCATCGTCTTCACATACTTTGGTTCTTTCGATTTCTATCTCTTCATCCGAATCCATTTCTACAGTTCTTGCTTCGTCCTCGGTTTCTTCAATTTCTTCATTTTCACCTCCATCCGATATCGATTGAGTATCTTCGTCATCTACTATACGATCATTTGTTATTTCTTCTTCGTCATCCTCTTCATCACTGATTTCATCTTCTTCCTCCTCTTCTTCCTCTTCTTCTTCTTCATCGTCGTCTTCATTAACACCACTATGGTAAACATTGGCGTTAAGAATAGTGGGTGAGGTATAATCAAAATCTGCAAATGATTCATCGGCATTTGGAGGCGTTGCACAAGGAGATTCAACCAGTGACATGGTAGTAAATTCGTCGGAAAAATTGGAAGTGTCCATTTCACCGTTGATTCGAGGTTTAAAGGGAGCGGGAATCTTTTTACTTGCAAGTCCTTCCCAATCTAGTCCTTGGAAGAACGGGTGTCGTTTCACCTCACGAGCACCATAACGACCAGTACCAAGACGTTCAATAGGATCTTTGGCCAAAAGTTTAGAGATAAAATCAATGGCAGCTGATGACATATAGTTGGGAATGGGAGGTTGAGTTTTTAATATTCTTGTGGTGATATCGATTTGAGCATTTTTACCACCGTCAATGGTGAAAGGCGAGGCACCGGTAAGAAGTTCATAGGTGAGTACACCTACTGACCACCAATCAACAGCAAAATCATGGCCAAAATTACAATTTCGAACCACTTCAGGTGCCATATACTCAATGGTTCCACAAAAAGAATAAGTTCGGACAATCTAATAAGAAGACAAGAGAAAAACAATCAGAACGAGAAGAAGAACAAGGTGATCATAAGAATAATAAGAAAAGAACAAGGTTTGAATAGAGAAGAAAAGAAGAAAAAGAAAAGGAAACTAGAGAAAAAAATTAGAAGGAAAAAGAAAACAGGAAAACGAAGGAAAGAAGCAGAAAGAAGAGAGAGAGAGAGAATCAGAGGGAGAATGTGAGAGAGAATAGATTTAAAAGGAAGGTAGAGAACATGAAAAGAATATTTAAAAGGAAACTGGCACACGTTTAACAAGAGAATTTGAATACATTGAAGTAGAAATAAAAAAGGCCAAACATCGTTTCTATCGATTGCATTTCTCTATTGTTATTACATCTTATATACTCTATTATAGTGTTACCCTGAATGGGAAGTGGTAGTTAGTGTTTTGAGACTAACAAGAGAAGCGATGATGATAGAGAAGGGGAAGAAAACGATAAACTGGAACTGGTAGGTAACTGGAGGGGTATGAGGGGTGGGGATAAGGTTGAGATGGTTGGTGAGATATAACGGGAATATTATAGAGTTTGAATAAAAGAGAGAGAGAGAGAAAAAAAAAGAAAGAGAAAAGAAAAAGTCTCCATACCTTTGCTTGAGGATCAAAAACCTTGGATAATCCAAAATCAGTAAGGACAATGTGTCCATCTCTGTCCAGTAAAATGTTTTCAAGTTTCACGTCTCGATAGATTACATTGTTGCGATGAAGATATTCAAGAGCCAGAACAATTTCACCGATATAAATACGAACCTCTGACTCAGTGAAACGATCTCGTTGATATAAATGGGTGAACATTTCGCCACCATTAACATAGTCTATAATTAAAACAGAAAAAGAAATTAGGTTAACAATATGTTGAAGCGAAACCAGAAAAGAAAAAAAAAGAAAACAAAATCAAGAAAATACAAGAGAAGAAGAAAGAAAAAAAGAAAAAAAGTTCCAATCAGAAAATTTCAAAATGAATTTGTTTTCCATGATACAATTTAAAAGCTTCTCACATGTCAATTTGTTTGACAACTAACAAGTCTAATTAGCGTCACTCAGGCTAATTACTGAAAGATAAAAGAAAAGGCTGCATGAATGTAAAAGGGAGAGAGAGAGAGAGAGGTGAGTACATTTAAAAGACTAATCATCGGTGAAGAGTTGATAGAGAGATAATAAAGACATAAAGTCCAGCAAAAGAGGCGACAGTAAGTTAACCATATGTAAAAAGCTTCTAAGTGTAAACATAACCCAAACATAAACATGAGACACACTGATAATTGAGATGGTCAAAAAAACGACAAGATAAAGAGGGAGAGGGAGAGAAACAAGTCAAAGTCAAGTGGGTGGTGAGAGAGTAGATGATGATAGTGGTGTTTTTCAAAAGGAATACACAAATATGAGCATGGTAAGAGAGAGAGTGGAAGAGAACATGAAAGAGAAAAAAACTAGGAAGTGATGGAGAGAGAAAAAAGGAAAAGGAAAAAAATCAATTCAACTGGTGGAAAATTGAAACTTACCAAGTATAAGATGAAGACGATCTGATGATTTAAAGGCATAGTGAAGGGTGACAAAGAAAGGCGCTGATGAGACAATTTTAAGCACTTTTCGTTCGGTCAGTGTGTGTTCCAGTGTTTTTGGCTTTGATAAAATGGTTGCTTTTTTAATGGACTTCATTGCATATAATTGATTAGCATCGACGCCATTTGTTTTACGCACTAAAAATACTTTACCGTAAGCACCGGTTCCAAGAACTTTTAGAATTTCAAAATCATCAAGAGTAACAACAGGCATGATGATTGTAATAACAGAATAAATTATTGTCAACGAGAGAGTGAGAGAGGTAAAGTAATTTGAACAGGGAGCGAGAAAGAGAGAGAGAGAGTGAGAGTGAGAGTGATACAAATTTACACAGAGTGAGAACAAAAATAAAAGGTATAAAATATGTGGTTAAGGTTAAATTGGTGACACAATTGATATATTTTGTTGATGATGTTGTTGTTATTATTGTTGGTGTTGATTGAATGAAGATGATTAAGTTCAACAGTTATGATGATGTATGATGATGATGATGATGATTGTTTTGTATTATTATGATGAGAAACCAAAGGGTAAGCAAGTGATAAATATAAAAATTAAACTTTGTTGTCCTATGGATGAAGTGGTTAACAATTAGTCTTGATCGTTGAGCAAAGACAATGAGAATGATAAATTTTACTCTCTCTCTTCCTATGTGTTGGTCACTCGGATGCGAGGGAGATGAGGGGGAAGAAGGAGATAGTGAGTTTATGAGAAAGAGAAAGAGAAAGAGAGAGAGAGAAAGGGTCTAGGGGTGTTAAAGAGTTTCTATGGAAGAGAAAAAATTAAAGGCAAAAAGTGAGTCGAGAGAGAGAAAAGAGGCAAAGTCAAATGGTCACTTGAGGTCACCAATCAGGTTTGTTCGAGAGAAAGAGAAAAAGAAAGAGAGAGAGAGAGAAAACGGATTAAAAGTCTAAATGGGTTATCCGATTAATGGATAGAAAACCAAAAATGAAAAGATAATCCGAAACTTTTTTTTTCTTCTATTGGTGACCTTTAGGTAGAAATAAAAAAGTAGCTTTTTTTAACTGCTTTAAATATCCGATGATCACTTATTCTTGTTTTAAATTTTCGTGTCTATAATTATCACAATTAGGTTTTCGGATGATGGACGATCAACAGTTATCACTTTTGTTGTGGGTACGGAACAAAACTATCACCACGAAAGAGAGAGAGAGAGAGAGAAGAATAAATTTTCAGGTAGGCAGAAATTAATAGTTCGAAATTTCCTCTTAATTGTTGTGTTTGGACGTTTTCCGTTTCTACGTGTTAATAGGCCGCTTACAGAAGTGATTTTCCCATGGTACTGATTAATTGATTCCAATCTATTTGAATAACGTGAGAGAGAAACATGAAATTAATTATGTCCATTGGTGATTATACTTTTTTTTTCATGACGATGATGATGATGATGATTAGGAATCAACTAACTGTTGAACTGGTTACTGATTATGGTCAACTCACATGTATCCTTATAGTTAGTTAACTAATTATATCATTTGTATAAACAGTTTTGTTTGCTAATCATGTTACATCAATAATAATGGTTTTGTTTTGATTTGTTTTGATTTTGTTTTGTTTGTTGATTGCCAAACTTTGTTGTTGATGATGTTTAATGATCAACAACAATATAACCATCGTCATGAACCAGCGTCATCATCGTCATCATGTATAAATATATATACTAAATGATATTAACTTGATTCTTTAATTTTCTTCAATTGTTTCAATGGGAAAAGTAATAAGTTCTGATTTCGTCTTTGATTATCGTTAGTCTTTGGTGAAATCTGGTGGTGCTTTTTGTCTGTTGATTGTTATATAATCACAATTGTAATTGTCAATCAATCCCAAACTATGTCACTGTAATAAAATAGATTGAGAGAGAGAGAAATGAAAATATGTTTTAACGATCATGTTAATTAGTTGATTAATATTAATTGTTTTAGTAACAATCAGCTCTTTTTATGATAAGTCTTTCTCCAATAAGTCAAGAATCTCTCTCAATAGAGATAATCTCTGATTGTAATTATGCTCACTGATGAAATGAACATAATTGGAGAGAGAAACAAAATTAATGATGATAAATATGATTGACGTTTTCATGATGATGATGATGATGATGAGGTTTGTCGTTTACCTCCTTCTACAGGTATTAATTGGGTGAAGTTTAATTGTATCTAATCTGAAACACTTATTGTTATAAATTGTCATTGTAATTAAAAGATCACAATCAATGTTTAACTAGAATTAAGGATTTACTCTTGCTCTCTCTCTCTCTCTCTCTCCCTCTCTCTCTTACACATTCAACTCGTTACATTGTATTATCATCATCATTACGTATTAATCAACTTTGATCATGATTAACCTTGAATATCAACAGAACAATTTAACAATAATGTTATATAGTAAAAAAATGGAAGATGTGGTTTTTACACAAAATTGATATTCGTACGAAATGTGAGAGAATTAAAAAACTGGTTATTATCATCATGAAAATCAGAAAAAAGTTATTACGAAACGGGATTACGGTTATGTTAACATTGAGAAGAGTTAATCTGTCAATTATATTAACTAATTGTTATCAAATGCTGTGAGAAAGAGAGAGAGTATCTTTTCAATATGAAAACTTACCTTTTAAAGAAAAATGTTTGGCGAATTAGTTTTCTTATAATATAATGTATATATAAATTTTTATATATAATCAATGGAAGTTAATTAATTTAAATTGTTTCGAGACCAATAACAGGATTCAGACAGTTTTTTTATATTATAATGTTGTTTACCATGAAAAATATCCGATTAGAAGCTCTGATAAACAGACAGGTTAAGGTTTTCTGATGCCAACAGCAAAAGAGTAAAAACAATAACACCAAAGTCAACAAAAGTAGCAGTAAATAGTTTGTCAATTAACCAAATTGAAAAGAGAAAAACAAAATTTAACAGTTACAACGAAATTAAGAGCCTTAATTGTTGATTGTTGTCACAATAAACATTCGTGTTCATAGATAATGTATGTAGATTTATATATATATTTGAGTGTGTGTGTGTGTTCAATGTGATGAAGGAAGAAGCAAAAAAAAAAGTATAATCAAAGTAAATGAGAGAGAAAAAGTTAACAATTATAATGAAAAAAGTATTTATATTAACACACTAGGATCATCTGTAACTTATAATCCAACTGGTAATCATCAACAGAGAAGTCAATGTCATAGAGAATAGGGAAAAAAATGGTTGATTTTTTTTCTTTTCAAATGGTTGATGGTTAACTTGTTGTTCTTGTTGATGTTGTTGTTGTTGATTGAAGGTAACATATAATAGTAGCACATAGAAAATATCAATGGCAATGGTGTTTATTGTTGATGATGTTTGCGTTAATTTAATTGTTAATGGTTGATTAAACATTATTCTTGAATCCAGCATAATCAAATTAACCAGACTTAATTTGTTGTTCACTTCTTAAATATCTTCTTGTAATTGTTGTTGATGATTTAGACTAATTGACTTTCATGGAGACACAAACACATAGGCACATATACACATTCATGTGTATATTTGTTGATTATGTAAACAATTAATTGATCATCTTAATCACATAAATAATTATTAGATTTGTATAGTTGCTGGATTAATTGGTGTTCTTGGTGTGAGAAGGAGAAGAGAGCAAATAGAATAGAAAAGTCAAAAGAGAAAAAAAAAGAAGAAAAAAGAAAAAGAGAATAGAACAAATCTGGTTAACCTAAAAGAAAGAAGGTGATACCAAAAGAAAGAGAAAAAGAAAGAGGGAAAGAGAATATATTACAAATTTTCTGTTCTTTTCTCTTGTAAAACAGCAAAGAGAAAAAGGGATAATTAACTGAGAGAATTTGTTGTTGTTGTTGTTTCTTCTTCTTGTTTAGATTAACAGTGAGAGAATAGATTAAGACAAGAGATTAGCACAATTAGTCAGGTCAATTGTGAGAGAGAAGGTTAATCACAGTTAAAGAATTATTGTAACAGGACAAGAAGAAGAACAAGAAAGAGAAAAGAACAGTTAGAAAAACAAGTTACTGTTAGAGAGAAGAAGAAGCAAAAAATTGATGAGTAAAATAGAGAGAGAGAGAGAGAGAGAGAGAGCGATAGAGAGAGAAGATTTAACAGCTGATTGGTAATTATCCACTTTTTTGAAGGGGAAGATGAAGAGATGATTAATTTCCGTTTGAAAGAATATGTAAATTATGGTTGGATTAAAGATATTGATGGATTATGACGGAGCCAAAGATGAAGATGATGGTGACGAAGGTGATGAATATGGATTGAAGGGAGACAAGGAGAGGGAGAAAATCAAGAGCGAACACATTATCAGAGTGAGAAGAGTGAGAGAGACAATTTTTCTCAACAAAAATGGAGAGAAAGAGAGAAAGAGAGACAAATAAAAAATGAAAAGAAAGAAAAGAAAGAGACACAAGAAAAGATGAGAAAAAACCTTTACTCAACGAAAGGAACGTTGCTAATGGGGAAGAGCTGGAAAGTAGGAAATGTAACTTGGAGTGAGACTTTAAGGTTATGCGAAAGAGAAAAAGAAAGAGAAGAAAGAGTGGGATGAGTGAGCTCTTACTCGAATTTGGTAATATATATAAAAGTGTGTGTGTGTTTGTTGGAAGGTAATATTTGGATGAAAAGAGAGAGAGAGAAAGAAAGAGAATAAGGTTATTTGAAGAAGAGAAAATGAGAGAAAGATCAATGAGAAAGAGAATAAGGTTATCGAGAAAGAGAAGAGAGAAAGAGAATAAGGTTATTAAGAATGTGGAGAAAGAGAGAAGATGCAAAAAGAGAGAAAGAGAAAAGAACAATTTGCAATTTTCGATCTCAAAAGAGAGAGAGAGAGAAGGAGAAATCGAAGAAAATAGAAGAAGAAATATTTTCATTTCGTTTTGTTGTGAAAAAAAAAGATTAAATTGTTCACCGATTGATCAACAATCAACTTTCTAATCAAATTGATTCATTAACATGATAATTATGAGAACAATGGAAACCAGAATTATTATCGTTACATTGATTTCCAATCAGATTTTATCTTCCAATCTTCCTCTCTCTCTCTCTCTATCTCTCTCTAGTTGGTGATTCTGGTAACACTTGATTAGAATCATGATTATCCTGAAACGATGACAATTGTTGATCAATGACTTTTATGATCAAATCAAATTATCGACAATGATTCAGATGAAATGGGAAAAAAATTCATCAGAAGTTGAACAAAATGGCCGAGCAACTTTATTATTATCATGTAACCTTTGAAAGCAAAGAATCATCATCATCATTTCCTCATCGAAATCATCATCAGAATCAGAATACGATTCTCATTTAGAATCAGAATATATACAAAAAAAAAGAGAAGCAAAAGCAAAGAAAAAAAAGAGAATGAGAAATTTAAAAAAGAGATGAAAGAAAATTCAACAAACCAGATAACACCAAAAAAAAGATCGACAGGTAACTTTGAGAGAGAAGAATCAAAAAAGAGCAACAATTTTGAAGGTAAATGACCGAGTTGTCTTTCTACCTGGAATATATCCTTCTCTTTAATATTTTCTCTTTCTTTCTCTTCTCAATGAGAAAATTTTCTCTTTCTCTCTCTCTCTCTCTTCCATCCTCATCTTCTTCTCTCGTCGTATTAACCTTAAAGTGTATGGAGCTGGTTCAATGAGGTTTGAACGTTTTTCTTTTCTCAAAAGTTACTGACACTTATCTCATCTCTCTAACACAATGTAGACACTTTATGTTAGTATTTCCGTAAGAATTTCTTATTATTTTACCAACTTTTTGTTTTAGAACTTTTTTCCTTCTTAAATTCGAATTTCGTTCTCTCCGATTCTCGATTTTATTCCTCTTCTTTTTTTTCTCAATTGCGTTTAAACTCTTCTTCTTCTTCTTCTTTGTTGTTGTTGTTGTGTTCGTGTTTATGTCACTTGAAATGCTTTTTATTTCTTATATTTGTGTGTATGTGTCTTTCTATTAGTATTCAATCTTAATACACGTGAGTTCAATAAACAATCAGGCGATAATAATGAGTTTCTCTCAATCAGTTGATTTCAATCTCCATCACAACATGGACGCTGCCTTTTAATTGCTCCTTCGATCTCTTCTCCTTCAGACTCACTCACTTTTCTTGCATGTAATTGGAATCAATCAATAACATGGGATAAGTAATGGAAACCAGTATCGATCTTGACTCTTTCCTTTCCAAAGAGATAAAATCTGATTTCACTTTAAAAGTTCATTTACTCACAGGGTTATTCTCAATGAATTCTGCTCTCTCTCTCTCTCTCTTGATTGCATCATTTCCACCAGCAAACCTTTTGACAGACTCAAAGGCTTGAGATCATTACACTTTTCTGGACTCAATTCATGGTGGTAATAACACCGACCTCAATGAAACGATGTCGCTTTTGTGATCCTCATCCTCATCCTCATCTTCATCTCTCTTTCTCTTTCATTGTCCGATTTTTTTTGCGCTTTTCTTTTCTTCGAATTAGCATCAACCACTTCAACCTCTATCATTCGTCAGCCATTTTAGTCCAAATTAAATCTAATCTCTTCAGGCTATCGTTTTCTCCCTTCGCTGTTAAAAAAAACTAATCTTTCACCAACTAATCCTTGATAATATTAATCCTAAATCTCAAACGCACACACCAAGCTTTTAATTAACTATTAATATTAATATTTACAATTAACTTTCACATTGCTCACATTTTATTTGGTTACCATGATGTTTAAGGTCCAATTTAGGTTATTCATCAATTTTGTTATTCGTATTAAATTGTAACAATTTATTTAATCTTTTACCAAATCAATTGATTACATGTTATGATTTTGATTATGATTTATTCATCAAACAATTTAAATTAACTCATTCATTTAATAACTTTTTCTTTCTGACAATTAACAATTACAAGCTCAACAGATTGAATAAGTTGTCATTACAATTGATTAACTGAATATTATTTACTCGAGTAATCAAAAATTGATCAACAGAAAGTTAATTAATCAAATAGAGATAATAATTAATTCCTGATTAGGAAAACAACAATTAACACAAAAAAAATTGATCATTGATTTAATCAGCAATACAAATGTACAGAGTGAGATACAATCAATATGTATAACAATTAATTAATATTGATGATCAACAATCAACAATCAAAACTAATACACTAAAGGGAAACAATTAATTATTTCATTTTAATTGTAATCAGATCAACCAATTAAATATTTTCATTATACTTAATTAGATTTACTAAATCACATATTAATTAATTGGTAATTTAATTATTATCATTATCATCATCATCCGAATCAAATTTAATTACCTCAAACAATTAGCTTATTTTTAACTATTAATATAAATGATTTCCACCAATCAGATTAATTATTAATTATTATTATTAATTTAATTATAATGATTATGATGAGAATCAAAATTTGAAATTAAATTATGGTTTCTGATTAAAGAGATGATGATGAACAATTAACAATTAACTGAATCAAATTGTAGTAATTAAACTTTCGAGATGGAAAATAGTTTTTTAATATTTTGCTCAACAATTTAACCAATTATCATTAACCATTTAGATAATTAATTAAGCAATAATCACAATTTGATTAACTGTATATAAGATTTTTTTTTTAATTAAGTTTGTAAAAAGTTTTACAAATAATAATGTTTACCTTTAATTACTATGAGCCCAAGTGATTATCATTAATCGTAATCAAAAGTAACGGTAATAACATCATCCTCCTGCTAATCATTAAGATAATCACCATCATGATAATCATATAATCATCAACACACAATCAACAATTTAATTGGTAAAAATAATAATAAAGAATAAGAAGAAAAAAAAGTAAAGTTAAATTGTCACTCACGAAACAATTTACAATCAACATAATACTTAATTCACTCTCTCTTTTCATCTTCAACTGACCATTTAGGTCAAGCATCTTTTTTTTAGGGCAACATGATGATGGATATCATGTCTATCATCATCATCATCATCAACAACATCAAGTGCAATGAAAGGGCAACAGTATTTGTGTATCAAAAGTAATGATAATTTGAGATGAATTTGTTAATAACCAGAAAAAGTAAACAAATAAACATTTGAAACCCAAAAACAAACCAGAAAATGTTGTTTTCTCAACAAGAATCTGAATCAAGTTTCTGTTTGTTGGTCAAAACCTAAAAACGGGTCAAATGTGCAAACTGGACTTTGCCTGTTTCATTGTAAAAGTGACCATTAGTGATGAAATGGAGAGTTAATCTCTTTCCTTTAGGTTAATATTGTTTTTCTTATTGTTGTTGTTTTTGTGTATTATTTGAGTGTTTCATGTGTACGATTAATAGTCCAATTTTAGTGACCGGAACCAGTGACCTTGTTATTGACTGATCCAAGGTAGAAATGGATTGATTTTGATTGTTGTTGTTGTTGTTTGTGTTGTGGGTATGGAATATGAATGAAAAAAAACCAGAATCAATTTAATTTAACTTTGGTTTTCCTTTACTGATACTAATTGTAAATAACCATTGGGAATTTGGTAATGATGATGATTATTATTATTATATTAGGATGAAATTGTCACCAATCAATTTGCTCAATAGATTACAGTTTATGCGAGACATTTGGTTTGCAAGGTTTTCCAGGTAAATTCATGATAATAATAATGATAATCTCCGGTTCCAGGTAAAAATGTTTCAATTGATTTCAATAGTTTCCAGTTTCTAACCAACAGTCAAATGAATGAAAAAATTGTTCAATAAATATGATTAACTTTATTGATTAATTGATACATTTGATTATTGTTTGTGTGTCCTGATTGTTGTAGTTTCGTTTTTTTTTTGGGTGAAAAAGCCCTGATGATGATTACAATTCATGACAAGGACAATTTAAATCAATGAAATGATGAAGTATTTGAATTGGATGCAAAGTTGTCCTTGGGAAAAGATGATCAATGTAACCCAAGAGGAAGAGGAAAAAGACTCAGAGTAGGAGATAAACCGAGAGAGAGCAACTTAGGAGGAAAAAAAAAATGCTGATAGAGATGAGAAAACCTATGGAGGAAAAGATGATAATTCTAGATTAAAACTCTAACAACAAAAATCACCTTGACCGTAATTCAAAGCTTAAGATTTCAACATCGTAGGTATAGAGAGAGAGAGAGAGAGAGAGAGAGAGAGAGAGAGAGAGAGAGAGAGAGAGAGAGAGAGATACAATCACTCACTCATTATGATCATCAACTTAATCAACTTACACACTATCAAGGGCATTAAATAAGCACCAGAATTGATTGAATAATGATTAACACATTAAGATGATGATGAGGATGAGGATTTTTCAGAAGTTGGTGAAAGTGCTGATGATGATTATTAGCTTATCTCATATAATATTGATGACAGGATGAATTGAGAAAGATGGATGATCG